TGGAATCGATTCTCTGACCAAGCGCGGCAATTCACGGCCGACAAATGTGCTGGAGATGGCGTGAGAACAGTTGAATCGCTGCTGTGTACTGGCGGAGTTATATCAAGTGAGGTCGATCGAAGATCAGATCGTAGCTGTTGTGAGTGCGAAGATTCCGCCTTTAGGCTCCTTTGAATTTTTGGCGCCGCGAGTGCTGGTTCCGTCTCGTGTGAGCTCCACGTCAGAAGAAGACGTACTCAAAGTGAACGCATGAGGGAACGCTAGTCGAATTCTTGACGTTCTCGGGCACCCAGCACTGGCCATGTTGGTGCGGCGTCATGAGGAAAGTTCTCTTGACGAACTGCATCCGGAGCATCCTCGTTTCCGTTCGAGCTACCGCCATTGTATCCTGAATCTATTCTTCCTCTTCACATTCTTTATGATTTCGCTTCCGATCTCCCCGTGATGGCACTCTCTTCCAGGACGAAGAATAAGATGTTGTGATTATGAGCGAGCGGGCGAGCAAGCCAGCCAGCTAGCGGAGCGATCGGGCGGCCCTTCTTGAGTCGACGATCTCGTTTGTTCAGCTAACGAATCCTTGACTCATACCGCTCCCATTTTTTCCATCACTGTACTTCTTCTTTTCCGTTCTCAGTCTCCTTTCTCGCAGGCCCCGCCCCGTCCCTCCCCGACTCCCCGGGCATTTCACCAATAAGTAGTCTTGGACTTCTGCTTCCTCCGATGCTTCCTCTCGATTCGTTTCTCCGATCGTGGAATGGCTGCCCAACGGAAATAGTCCGACGGACCATCATTGTCCACAATGTTCCTCGGACTCAGGATCGTTCCCGGCCGAGAGCTCTGCCGCGTCCCCCTTATCGGCGTGCAGAATAGACTCGGTAGGAAGGCGAATTCTGAGTCCGGATGGAGAGTGAGGGAGAATTAATTCCCGATCAGGTTGAGATCTCAAATTCGTATCGAAAGCCGGAATCCGGACTCCCTCGGCTCTGACTTAAGCTCAAACAAGCCTCGTCTCGATATCCGAACAAGTTGACAAACAGACGAGTAATGCGAAAGTAGAGGCAATCGGAGGATTCATTACGTCAGCCGAGGCCTCTAACATGAAGACTGATCCCAAAAGCTCAGGGAGGTCCTAAGATCTCGCAAGTCGCGACAGAGCGACTCTCCCTCTCCTTCACCCCACCGGCACTCTATGTGTGCCCCCAGGGATCTGGTTGAATATGTCCGATAAGTAATCATTTCCGGTATCATCCAGTGCTTCGAGGGTCTTTGGCGGTATTCCGTCTGGTCGTTCGGCGGAATGTTCGAAAACTCTCACCGGAGTGGCTCCAATCTCCGCGCCCGAGACTCAACTGACCGGTGGTCTAAACTCCAGACTCGAGAGAGGAGACTACCGTAAGATACCCAATGAAAGCCCACTACCTATTAGTAGCCCAATACAAACCCTCCTTTCGACGGTTCAAAACTATGGAAGCCCCTCTCGAATACAAGCCCTCTTCCCAATATCAGCCCCCCGAAATCAGAGCGTGCAAAACGCAGACGGTACGGGGAGCGATTTGTCGATCGCATTGAGCGATGAAAACATCACATTCCGAGCCAATTCATCTTGTCTGTATATGCAGCATTGCAGTAGAGCAGTGCTCCGATCCCTTTATCATTATCGGCTATCCTCAGTCAAAGGAAATTAAGAGCCCCTCTCCAATAGAAACCCACTCCCACTCCCAATATAAGCCCTCCCTAAGAGGCTCTCGAAAAAATTGACGCCCGGGCTTGCATTGGGTATTTTACGGTATGCCTGGGCGGCTCTGTTTTGCCGTTTGCATCCAGCAAGACCTTCGCTACCCGTGTGAGATGAGGCGTCATTTCCGAGGATCAGCTTTAGCAGCCATTCTCGTTCACTACTCGGAGCCTTCCTGGCCCTCCTCCTCTCTGTTTTTCTAGCGTATTCCCAAAAACCCTAGAATCTGGCTTCTCCGGGAGTATCCATAATCCAATCGTACAGTTTCCGGTCCCGGATGTCGAGCTGTCTGGCTACCTCGGCAAGCACTGCGTCTTCTGCGCTTCTGAATCGCTGTCTCACCTCGTCCACGCCCACTCTGGCGTGCCATGCTCGCCTCCATTCACGATTCACCGCTCGTCTGTTAGTCGTCAGTCACGATTATTAGGCGCAAGCACTCTTCGACTCGTATTCAGAGAGATTAGTTATGTATTTTGGGCTATCGCGGTTTGGTTGGTGTACACCAGGTCGCCCTATCTAGCCGATACTGTTGATCACATAAGATTTTTTCGGTTTTCTGACGCCTCTTCTGCCGCTTTCTGCCCCGTCTGTCCGTTCTCCCATTTGACTGAGTGATGAGGGCGTTCATGTCACCCCCTGTCACGAGGCGGACGTCTTCCGTGACTTTGCTCCGAAGATTTTCTATGATTTCTTGAAGTTGCAAACGATCAGGGTCTCAGTCCACGGTAGCGGCGTGGAGTGAGACAACACAGCTCGACAAAAAAAATCTTTTTTCGCGTTACAAAGAAAATGAAAGCTATTTCGGGGTAAACCGGGGGCGCTGAATCCGAATTTCTTAACAGATTTTCCCCATCAGGTATAGTTTTTCCGAAATTTCAATTTTTCGGTTTTTTGCCATTTTTCGTCTTCAAAAAATTCTAGCTCCGCCCCTGAGTGGACTAGATCGATGAAACTTCGGTGGCGGATAGACCTCGGTTGGGGCTATACCTGGCCGAGTTTTGGTGCGATTCGTAGCAGTGGTCTCTGAGCTAGAGCCATACGGAAACTAAAAAAAAGAAGAAAAAAGTGGGAGAGGGACCTCTTAGAAAGCACTTGACGGAAAAACTAGGACCTTTGAAGCGGTCTGACCTCGACAATTCGATAGAGGAGGCTTTTACGAGCATTTTGAGACCAAGCAGAGCAAAATCGGTCGATCCGTTCAGTTTTTATTCGCAAAAACATTGAAAAGGGTCTCGCAGGAGATGTGCCCCTTTTTGAAAATCGCTTCGGCGACCAACTTCAGAGAGCTGTATCTCCGGAACGGTTCGTCGTAGAGCGACGATCGAAGGCGCGTTGGAAAGCTGAGTCTGAGAGCTTTCATTTGCGCTAGTCAGATTGGGAAAAGGATTAGTTGGGACGGAGATATATGACGATTTTCACAGATCGAAAACTATATTGACGATTTCGCTGATTTGTCTTCTGCGGACTGTTTTCCGCGAAAAAGGGCTATGTGCGAAGTTTCAGAGTGGCCGCTCAACTGTAAGTATGTTTAAGTACCCGAAAACCCTTTTTTCATTGAATAAGCCCAATTGGATTCTACCACCATTCAGCTTGCGGAGGTCTCCATCTAGAGAATGGTACCTCCAACGGAGGTACCATTGGTCGTACGGAGCCGAAGAAAGCCGCTGTGTAGCCGATGAATCACCGCAATGATGTAATCACATGAGCATGGGTAGACCGCGGACTCGGGCTCAGCGATTCGTCCCAGCATCGGACCCTAGCACGATAAGGAATTTCTGCGTAATGGGGACTCCACTACGCAGTGGAGTCATGGTATCATAGACTCTACTTATCCGAGGCTCGCAGAAACTAGCCCACTGATGAGCATTCCGGAGCCCTGCTTCGGATGCTTAACCGAAATCCATGAGTAAGTCGCCAGATATCTGGAATGATCTCCCCGGGGTACTGTGACGCCTCTCCATACCGTCCTCTAGACGGAGCCTCCGCAAGCCGAATGATGGTAGAATCCAATTGGGCTTATTCAATGAAAAAAGGGTTTTCGGGTACTTAAACATACTTACAGTTGAGCAGCCAGTCTGAAACTTCGCACATAGTCCTTTTTCGCGGAAAACAGTCCGCAGAAAAAAAATCAGCGAAATCGTCGATATAGTTTTCGATCTGTGAAAATCGTCATATATCTCCGTCCCAACTAATCCCTTTTCCGATCTGACTAGCGCAAATGAAAGCTCTCAGACTCAGCTTTCCAACGCGCCTTCGATCGTCGCTCTACGACGGACCGTTCCGGAGATACAGCTCTCTGAAGTTGGTCGCCGAAGCGATTTTCAAATAGGGCCACATTCCCTGCGAGACCCTTTTCAATGTTTTTGCGAATAAAAAACTGAACGGATTCGACCGATTTCGCTCTGCTTGGTCTCAAAATGCTCGTAAAAGCCTCCTCTATCGAATTGTCGAGGTCAGACCGCTTCAAAGGTCCTAGTTTTTCCGTCAAGTGCTTTCGAAGAGGTCCCTCTCCCACTTTTTTCTTCTTTTTTTTAGTTTCCGATGGCTCTAGCTCAGAGACCACTGCTACGAATCGCACCAAAACTCGGCCAGGTATAGCCCCAGCCGAGGTCTATCCGCCACCAAAGTTTCATCGATCTAGTCCACTCAGGGGCGGAGCTAGAATTTTTTGAAGACGAAAAATGGCAAAAAATCGAAAAATTGAAATTTCGGGAAAACTAGACCTGATGGAAAAAATCTGTTACGAAATTCGGATTCAGCGCCCCCGGTTTACCCCGAAATAGCCATCACTTTCTTTGTAACGATTTGGCTGTCGAGTTGTGTAATTATCCACGATCCGCCGGCCATGTTTCACCTAATGGAATCTCTCCCTTCATGGGTCCAGCTCACCGGAATGAAGGATCAGAAGAAGATAAGTAATGGAACATAACTCTCGGAGAAGTGGAAAACGAACGTGAATCAATGGGCTCTGTGAATGATACAGCTTCGAGGCAATATTTTTCCCCAAGTGAGATCGTATGACGGTCCACGACATTTGGACTACTTCTAGTTATTTTTATCACATTCCGCCTATTCTGGAGCCTATTCCCCGAAAGAACGCTCAGATGGGCATCATGGCACTTTTTATTTACAGATCCTCGAACGCTTCCCCTATGAACATCCGGTATTCCGTATCTCCGCTGTACATTACGAGCCCTCCGAAGCATTCCAGGATTCCTGAATGGAAACTCATAGGGAGGCCGAGACGAAAACTGCTGAATCCCGATGCCAAGCTTCAGAGCAAACAACCATTTACTGGCCGTCAACGGATTTCCTCGCTCGCGACTTCGGACCACCACACCGTAGGAGAGATAGCCCGATCCTCTATCAGTCTTGAATCTGAAGGTCAACCATCGAGGGGTCGAAAGGTCGATCTTTGAAAGGCGAATCGTCCTTGTTCCACGCCTTTTTCAGTAAGTCTTCGTAGGCCTGAAACAGCGAGAGACATGGCCTCGCTTAGTCTCCTCATGCGATGAAACCTCTATGTAGTTTCACAGACAGAGAGGGGATGGGAGAATTCGAATCTCTGATTCCTGTATCCGATGGGTGTCACCAGAGATATAATCCGGATCGTATAGATTCTGCCAACGACAGGCATGAATCTACTGACTCAAGGTGACGGATCAATAGATAGTTCCGCTGTGATTCGGTGATCTGAATCTTCGCGTCCCATGACTCCCATGAGAATGAATACCCCGACCTCCAGCCCACATGAGACTTTCCAGATAGGGGATTCTCAGTCGGTGTCTATTGGGGAGAGGCTCGCTTTCAACATGGGGCCTACAGGAGACGGAAGGCCCCTCGCAGGTAGGTTTTTGAGATGATCAGGAAATTCCCAGTTTCATCACTGCGCATGCTTCATTCAGCCAGAATTCTGAGGCATACGTGGATCTATCTCGGTGGCATACAAACTTTTTTTTGGGGTCAGGTCTTCCCAACGCCTTATCCATGGTTTCTTGCTGCATTTGAAGAATTTTCATCCTAGCTTCATCATCGAGCTCATCAAAGCGTTTCTCTATCTCCAGCTCGCCCAAGTTGATCTTTTCTTCGTTGTCCAGCAGACGATCCCACCATTTTTCCGAACTCTTCTCCAGAGCGATCTGTGTGCCGAGATGAATTAATGAAATTAGGGTACTCTGAGCAGATCGGAACCAGCATGATCATGAATATACATTCGGGCATACACATGATGTCCTCGAGGCTCGTATCCAGCACCAACTCCGGTGAAACTCACATGTATGTATTCCCCAGACGCTACGGTCCACACCAACTCCGATTCTTTGATGGGGTAGCTGAGCTTCCCGTCCATTAGCGTCACTCTTGCACCATTGTGGAGGGCGGTAGCTGAAGACAGAAACTCCCGCTCAGTCAACTCACTCATAATGAGAATACTCAATGGAAAAATTATATCCTGATTTCCCGACGATTCCCGATTTCCTGACTCCTCTAAGTATTAGCAACTTCCTCTCGTGTTCCAAGTATGCTCGGAGAATTCCATTAGATCGGCATACCCGCATAAGTCGAGGTCTTCCCTCCACCAATCGGATGGGAGCCAATTGAACAAACGAGGGGTGAATGTCGCTGGAGCCACGAGGAGCTGTGCAGGATCATTCCGAAATTGCTTTTATGCGTCTCGCAGAATTGAAGGAACCGACTTAACTGACCTTTGAGATTTCCTGATGAGTACTCCACGTTGAACTTCTTGTGGTCTTTCGTAATGTGAACCTTCACGTCGACGTCATCTTGTGTTTGGGACCAACAGTATCCGTCACACTCCGCTCCATTATATGCATCATTGCTGGTGGAAAGTAGAGGTCCTTATTGAATGGGATACTCCGGAGTGCGAGTCGGGGGAGCAGGGAGCTTGATTGGGAAGCAAACACTGCTCTACCTCGGACAAAAACAAGCTCGTCCATCCAATCACCTTTTAGTCTTTTTACTCTGTTTGGTGGCATCGACTCCTTCCGGGGGAATTCTCTGACCGAATTCCGAGAGGGGCCTGGCATCTTCAGCGGAAGACGTTCCCGGGACATTGACAATTACTTCATCGCCTTCCCTCTTGATGGAGACTTCTTCTCCATCCATGGAGTACACCTCCTCCACGTTGGCTATATCCGGCGCGCCACTTCCTTCGGCAGCAGCCCTGAGCTCGTTGAATTTCTGGGAAAGATAAACCTCATTCTTTCCTCAAGCGGAACAATTCGAGAACCCAAGCCGGATGCTGTGAGCACGGAACGTTGGCTTGACAGCGCAGTCATGCATTGAGAATTCAACTTCCTACCATGCTAGACATATTCCTGATCCCTTGCTCATTCAGTTTGGTATTTTTCTCGGTACTCGTAGACCAGGCTCTCACCTTCTCATCTTCATCTCTCGCAATCTTATTGTATTTGCAGAAAGCGTTGTAGGCCACTTTGGAAGCGTATCCGTGTGGATATCCCTCTTTGAAACCGCGTTCAGAGTCTTGAATTTTGTAAAAGTCGGTCCTAAAAGAATCTTCGTGGTGTTTCAGAATGCAACGAGAGTCCAATACACCGGGAAGATATACTCATAAACCCTGGCGTTCCTGAGACTGATCACTTGACACTGAGATTGAAACCCCAGACCTTACCGCCGGTAGAGAAATCCGAATACTTTGTCGAGAAAGACCTCCGCCCTCCCGCAATCACTGAGAACGTTCAAGAAGTCTCCATCGAACCTCGTATCTCCCATGGCGGGGATTCCTTGGTCGGGATTCCTCCCAGCCAGAAATGCTATCAGACAGGAACTTGAGAATCTATGCTCTCCGATTCGAATGAGCGGATAGTCGACGACGACAAAGCGGAGGAATCCCACACACCACCTGAAAAAAACGGGTATCCCGTATTCAGTATAAGGGAGCAGAAGACCGATAAAATGCCCGCGAAGTTTTCGCGGGTCAGGTATCCAGCAAGAACTTTCACCCGAACTCAGCACCTCAGTCGAGGTTCTCGCGAACATCATGCGCGTCCGGGGAAAAACAATCCGAGCCCACATAGCTCAGCGTTGCGGAGTCAACAAGCAAGATATCGAGTTTCCGCGAGACATAGAACGAAATACCAGCGAAACGAAATACCCTCTGAATGAGCGAGCATCGGGTTTCCGAGGGTGGGTGGTGTGCGCTGAGCTGTTAAGCATCTCACGGCAAATCTGATTGGGCCTTCGGAAAACCATGAGGAGGGGCGCGCTCCCCTCGATTTTCTTGGAAACATTCATTCCCGACAAGATCCCCATCATCGGTTTGTCCTTGGAGGCTACGACGGCGGTCGCTCGAAAGCTTTGTGGTGGATGCGCTGGTTGCTGGTGACTCGCTTTCGATAAAACTGGCGCACAGTAATCCGCGTAAAGATGCAGCACATTCAAGCGAAGTCCCTTCCCAGGTAGGGGTCTGAACTAGGCATTGCAGCGGTTTCTAACCGCGGTTAAAAATCGCGATTAAGCGCTCGAAATCGCGGTTTTTAATCGTGATCAATCGCATGCATATTTCGATTGATAATCGCAAATCGAGGCCTGCCAATCCAGACGTCAAAAAGCCTGAGGATCAGTCATAGCTCTCGCGAAATGGCTCGAAAATTATTCTCCAGCCAATTACCGAATAGGGGAACGAATATAATATGATTTCCGGAAGAGTTTTCCGACCGTTGGCTCAGCTCCTAGAATAGCTCGAGGAATATCATCTTCGATCTCGGCGCACAGCACGTAACATTGAGATTTCACGTCCGAAGGCAGGTTGGATGTAGACCTGACAGCGGCGGAGCGTGCATCGACGTTTTCGTTGCTCAAGCGTTCGAAATCTAAACATCAACGATACTCTTTGCTCGTGCCGCGAGAGCCATCAAACGCTCCATGCTTGATCATCGTCTTAGAGAGTACATCTTCTCCGAAATTCGTCGGACTCCACGATCCTTCCAACTCTTGATTCATTAAACACTCAAGCGGGAGATTCCATTCTCAGCTCGTCATCTCCCTCCCCCCCCCGAAAGCTTCAAATAAGCTACAATAGAAATATATCCATGTTCACATGCCGATTTCGCCTCAGATCACTCGCTGGAGCGATTATAATCGCGGTTAGCGGTTTCTCGGCTCCGGTTAATCGAAACCGCGGTTCTTCTGAATTGCGGTTATTTGCAATGCCTAGTCGGGACATGACATCTGACGACGCCAGATGTCAGTCGGCGCGGTGACGCGACGGCTGGAGACGGTCGATCCACCGAGATTTGCCCCAACGGACGCAGGTTACGATGCCGTCAGCATAGACTTTCCTCCTGCATTCGCTCAAATACCCATGATTCCCGGAGCACCCTAAAGAGTTTCCGGATGCTCATTAATAGAGCCTGGAACTTCGGGCAGAGTGCCATAAATGCCTCGTTTCGCCTCACACCGTTTTTTTGCGACATTTTGCCTTTTCTTCGTTTTTTCGGGGCATTTCGCCTTTCCCACCCTAAAGTCGAGTTCGAATGTTGCTTGGCAGGGTTTTTTCGGGCAAGACTTCAACCTGGCAACCGGAGAAAGCTGCATTTGCTCTTCAAGTCCGACTACGTACCGGAACCATAGCCTTTCTCAGTATCATGTGATCGATCGCCGAGACTCTGTCGCGCGTGAATTTCCTCCGCCACGACTTCAATTCTGCACTGAGCTCCACCATGTCGTCGCGATTCGAGTATGAGTCTCGGCCCACGGACTTTCGAGAGTTCGCTGCAGAATCTTGATAGGTACCAGAAACATAATTGAAAATCTAGAAAGCAGCGATGCCACCGAAACTGGAAAGTCGGAAGACTTGCTTGAGCTCTCATGTTCCGAAAACGCTTCATTGGTCAGCGTGAATGAGGGGCGCTCTTTTTGTCGACATGAAACCCTCTGACCATCGACATGGCCTTACCAGAAATGCGAGATACCATTCCATCGCTGACTGTAATGCTCAAATCCTTATATGAGAGGTATATTCGATGAGAATTTCGACATAAATCCGAGCATCACTCATGTTTCCCGATGATTTCCAGTGCTTTTTTCCTCGTTTACAGTGCCTTTCCGTTGATTTTCGGTTACTTTTTGCCTGCCTTTCCTCGAAGTTTTCAGTGCCTGGAAGTCCCGGCCCTACTCATTAAGTTGTCGGCGAACTTCAACAGTCCGACCGATGCCGCTACCCGGGGCGACGTGTTAGAATCTCCTTTCAGCATTCGAAACCCGCTTCTGATTCGAGAGGAGGGTGAGCCCGCCTATGAAGATCTCCGACAGACAAAAATCTGCTTCCGAGATGCCATAAAACGGAAAGAAGTTTGGTGTTCTCTGTCCCGGCGAGAGCACCGCCATAAAACTGGATTCCAGTCGCAACTCTCGAGGTGCCTGACCCTATGTACCTATTCCTTATAGAGATCCCAATCTTCATGTTAGAGAGCATAGCTGATGGAGCGCATATGACCCCAAGCAGACGGAAAACGCTAGACAATACTGAATCGAGTGAACCATCACATCCTCGTGAGAGGTCAATCTATTTATCTCCTTGAATCTTGAATCACTCGTACCGTGTTTTGAACTATGACCCATCTAATGCAGGGAGCAGATACATATTAGGCGCTATCGCCTTCAAAGATTCACATACTTGACTGCTACGCGCTCTTTTGTATATTAGTGGGACTTCTCCCCTTTGCCCCGCTCGGTCTCGGTATAAGCCCCCTGCTACATGGTATGAAACTCCGACAGTAGAATCGATACCGTTCATCCAGCTTTGCCCTGTCCGTGGGCTCCCGGCCGAGTGAGGAGAGCCGGAAGGCTTTCATGTCATTACTCGTCGGGTACTCTCTTCTCGAGAGAGCCCTCCCGACTCGTTCGGAATCAACTCCCACCATTGAGAGCCACCTCTTGTGCAATCTACCCCTCAAGTTTGAAGACGTGATGCTGGCGCTAATGGCCGATCTAAGTGGCCTCGAAGTAATTCATGACTTCATGAACATCTCGATCTTCTGCTTGATGCCTGTCAATGTGACGATGTCTGATCCTGAGAGTACACGGAATTCTCTTCATGCACACGTTCGAAGGGAATGTATTTCCGAACAAGACAGAAACAAGTACTCGATCGCGTCTCAAGAAAGGAGACGTCTCAATTCTTCTTAGGAGCCGGTCTTTCTACGCGTCACAAGTCCGCTATCCGCCTGAGCTCCCTCTCCGCGGTCCACGACAACTCGGCCGCGGGGACAACTCGGCCACTACGACTACTCGGCCACCACGACAACTCGACCACTACGACTTCTCGGCCGCGGGGACAACTCGGCCACTACGGCTACTCGGCCACTACGACAACTCGGCCACGATGGAGGTTCAGCTGGTTTGGCGTAGACTGGGGAACGAACTTCGAAGAAAGACTCGACTCGATTTTCTTGGAATCAGTGCCTCTCATGACTTCATAAGAAGCTGTCAATTATCTATTGAAGGTAGAGCGGTCACTCTCACAACGAAGTTCTGAGGATTCATCTCTCAAGGATTCATTTTGTACGTTTGGGCAACGCCTCTCATGGTATCTGTTAAGGTATTCGTGTCCACATTTCCGGGGATGCGCAGAATCTTTTGGTCGTTCTCGACGTACTCATTCTTCTTGCCCTCCGAGGTATGCCCAGCTATGTATCGTTCCAAGTCGGCATCTTTGCTATGCTGTACGCTACGGATCCCGTCGATGAAGTTCAATATGCCAGGATGCTCGACGCGGAATTGGCGTTGGAGACTTCTATGAGCTGCCTCCGCGTAATTGTTGGTGCGACTGTCCCCTCGCAGTGTGCGCTCATAAACCGTCCACATAGAGACTGGAAACAAAGGGTCCCGTCGTGCCAGCGAACCGTCGTTGTGAACTCGAAGACGACCAATGTACGTGTCTTCGAAGAAGTCCAGGACTGGTTGCAACTCATCTGGCAATTCGTTTCGGAGCTCTCTGAGAGCGTCCTCGAGCCTTTCCGGAGGAACGAATGCGAGTGCGGAGATCATTTTGGCCTTCAGTTCGAAGTCCGACACGTTGCGATACCGTTTGCTCTGCCCGTTAGCCGCAACTTGTTTTTTCATGTTTCTTACGAGGTGGAAAAAACAGCCTTGGAGCAGAGCGTCGGGGATGTGGGAACTGAAGGCATTCATCAGGGCCTTCTCATAATCCATCGATATGCTTGTTGGATTGAATGTAGGCCACTCGAGCGAGAGCAGGTCGATCATCTGGAATCAAAGATCGGAAGCCGGGTAATACTCGGAATGATGAATAGAAGGTCAAGGGACATTCTAAGCTGTATCATTCGATAAGGATATAAAGCCTGCATTCGAGAACGTACCTTCCAATACGTTTCTTCTGATTTATTGGGAAGGAGAGCGTAACAAATCGGAGTCACGCAGTTGTGGCGCTCGGCGAGGATGGCTAGAACTTGAGAGAACCGTTTCGGGGCTAAACTTGATGTGCCATCACAGTAAATCTTTGAAACTCTACCGATCCACGAGCCCGTGCTCTCTCTGCAGAAGATAAAGATTCGATTGGGATCATCAGACCCGGAATCTCCGAGCACGAATCGTTCCACGACTCCCGGAGTACTTTCGTATACACCATATTCTTCAGGAATGACAATATCCCGACGATCCGTGTAGTGCATCGAAGGTATTCTGGTTCGGTTCCTTACTCTCTGGATTGTTCTCTACAACGATCGATTCGACTCGAGGCTTCCATTGACCGCCAGTGAGGAACTCGCGCGAATTCTGTTGAGTATCTGTTGCGGTGCCTCTTGAGTATCAACTGCTCGGCGCTTCATCGCCGCTTTCTTCTGTAGTACGTCAATGGCCGCAGAGCTCGGCAGGTCGGTATGATTTCCTCTCACAGTGATCTCCCTTGTCACGACAGATCTATGGACTCGGGCTAAGCACTTCTGACTTTTGCTTCCCTTGTGCTGACAACGCCAGAACTCTGTCGATAGATCTTTACTCATCTTAGCAAAAAGGTATAGATGGCCATCTTGGGCTAACTTCTGTTTTCCGCGGTGACTTTCAACGGTGGCTTCCATTTTCGTCGCGTTGCCGGCTCGTTGCACAAACACTTCGGATCCACGCCATGCGGAGGGATCGGCTGGAAGTCTCTCGAATTCGACGCTCGCGTTCAATTCAGGTGGCGCGTGCAATACACATAAGACGGAGTATGTACACGAACACGTCGCGACGTGCGCATCGTCATTCGACGTCTGCATTTCGTTCTGCTGTGCTCGAAAGGGACCGAGCCAAGAGCTCATTCCTTCACAAATCATCCAATCCATCGCGAACCGATATATCGAAAAGCCACCTCCGTGGCCGAGTAGTCGTAGTGGCTGAGTTGTCCCCGCGGCCGAGTAGTCGTAGTGGCCGAGTTGTCGTGGTGGCCGAGTATTCGTAGTGGCCGAGTAGTCGTAGTGGCCGAGTTGTCCCCACGGCCGAGATGTCGCGGTGGCCGAGTTGTCGTGGTGGCCGAGTATTCGTAGTGGCCGAGTAGTCGTAGTGGCCGAGTTGTCCCCACGGCCGAGATGTCGCGGTCCGCCCTATCCGGCGGCGACGCGAAAAGACCCGAGTGTCGTCACCGTCGAGCAGCTCGCTACGAATCGCGTACGAATCTGTAAACAAGAGAGGAATGACTCTGAGTGAAAGTGACCCTTCAAGAAGTTACTGCGGGCATATTTTGGAGCAGCGTCTAGTCCACCGCCGCGAAAATAATGAGCAACCGATCTCGATCATCCGGCATCTGGTCCGCGGGGACCGAGATGATGCGGAGGTCAATATGGAAACGATTAGCGCGTGAAAATCCAGACAGCAGAGCCCTCCGAGCCGCACTGTCGTCGCGCTGAGCTCACATTGCTTTGAGATTGAACCTGCACTTGAGCCGAACCTGCGCTCACGTAGTCGAATCTATACTCAAATCGACCCTGCGCTTAATTTGGCCCTGGGCGCAAGTCTAGGGCCAGTCCCGCCCACAGGAAGCATGACTTCGGAGAGGATTCCATTGAATGGGGATCGGAATAAGCCCCCCGGTCCTGAAATGTTTCATATGGCCATGGGATCGCGATTCGCCAAGGTCCGATTCTCCGCTCAAGACACAGCTGGCTTCGGTAGTGTCACGCAGCGACATCATAAGAAAAACAGAAACGACTAGTTCATGTACAATCACACATCCAGAACTTAGAGCAGATACATATATGCGGTAAAGTGCGGGTCTCGGTCCGATTGAGCGGTGGCCTTGTACACAGAACGACCTCGACACAACGAGAATCGGTACGCCAAACCAGCAATAGGAGGAATAAAACCCCACCCCATCAAGCCGGCTCACCGTGAAAGTTGGCCCCTGGACTCGAATAGTAGACACGGATCAGAGCGTATCCGCAAGTCGTACATCCGCGAGAGATGCTCCCAAGGTCGAGTCACCGACTCGGAAGACTCAAGGAGTCCGGCGAGCATCGCTTTCGCCTTCGATGCATAGACTAAGGGTCAGGAGACTTCCCTCGATCTACCCCAATGTTGGAGTTCTGCTTCCTTGTTCTCGCGGCCGGAATTTCGACCACCGTGATGTGGCCGCTCGCCGATCGGACCTTGCTGATCCGGCGAGTCGCTCGCAACTCGCATCCGTATGAGAAATCGGATAAGGGAATTCTGTCGGCAGCCGCGGATCGAGCTACATCCTGCTTTTAGCACGAGAGAGGAACGACAATTTTCGCCGTTCAGAGAAGCTCGCTTGGAACTCTGCTGCGGCAATCCTAAAACGGAGAATCATCAGGCGGCACATCAGAAACATCAGAGGAGCGTAGTGGCCGTGATCGGAGGCGAATAAGCGAACGAACAATCCGAGATCAACATGAACGTTGGTTCAAAGTTCAAATGTCATCCAGCGCGTCTTCTGGAAAGTCACTGGTGCATTCGGAGAGCCCTCCATCCCATGAAACAGCAACAACCCGAGAGACGTTTGAAAGCGCACCGCTCGCAGCATGCTCAACACATTGGCCAGCCAGAGCCTGGAGAAGTAGGATTCTACCGTGTGACTGCCATCCGGGCGAGAGTTGCTGGGGAGGCAACTCAGACGTCGAGCGGAGCGCTCGGACGTGTGGTTTTCTAATTTTCCACTCTTCGCTTACTCAGTGATCGCTGCTCCCGACCGCTTAGTTCATCCATCCGGGGTAGCTCTAAGTGACTACTCGTGTTCGGAGGGATTCTGGATCAAGCTTTGGATTTGTCCGCCAAGGATGTGCCCAATCTCTCTCGGCTGATCAGGTCAGAGGTTTTGTCCAAGTTGACATCCAATCGTTATCAGAAGTCAGCTCGTCAAACCCCTCTTCGATATCCCGCGGATGACGATGCTCTCGATCGGCAACCATCGTGAATTCTAAACTCCGATGATCGGAATCGATTTAGAGGGGACAGTGACTGACCAGCAAGTCGGTGAGATGGAGTACTTCTACCGGCTATAAGCAGCACGGTTCGGTTTGGAGAAAAGAAATACCTATCTATTCGATTCGGTGAAGCACATGTTTTGCCTGCATACAGCATCCATGCTCGTTGGACAAACTCTCACAGGAGGGGTTGTGCCTTCGCGTGCGGTGAGAAGCTCGGACGGTTCGAATCGATTTCTGATTGATCTTCCGAACACCGGAATCGGGCTCCTGAATTCTAGCCCCCCACCCTAGTGCGGAGCGCTTGGTTTAAAGACGCGGGGTCCCGTTTCGGTTCTTCATCACCAGATGTATCATCCGAATCGGCAACGCGAAAAAATGTGAAAAAATACCCTAAAAAATCAGTGACAAAGCTTGGCTAGATCGCGGGTTGATCGCTGCAGTGAGATGCCGGAACTGTGCTAGAAGGCGGGTCTAAACGGAGAGAGGAGGTCCGGGGATTCGGAACAGTCGCCCGCACTGCAAGGAAGGTGTGAGAGATAGCTTCCATTCACTGTGAGAGTATCGTCCCATTTCGGTGTCCGCGTCTCTGTCCAGAGTCTCGAATCGAAGAGACATTGAAGTCGTGACAAGCTCCAGGAGCGATAGTGGCGGGTGATGAACGTTCAAGAACCCGAAGCAAAGCAAATCGGTGACTTCCCGAGGGAAAAGGAATGATTTCGTGTTTCCGATTGAGGTGCTCTGATTCCCGAGGAGTTTCGTGGACAGTCTCGGTAGGATTATAATCTCGAAATGCGAATGCCCGAAAAACTCGGCGAGTCGACTCATACAGGTGGGTGAAGCTTCTTCCGCGACCTCAGTCAAACCGATAAGGCGGAGCCGCCCCGAGCCTACACTAGCGATGAGGCACGGGAGGATTCGGGGAAAAGACGAGACCTATCGCTCATCTTCCCGAAGGAATCCCAATCTGGAGCAGGTCGGATACGCTCTCGCACCCTCAGAGGAACAAGTGAGACTCAGATGGACTGAGAAATATGGGAGATCGTTCCAAAAGGAGAATCGATTTTTTCTCTCAAGGATATCGAGGTAGAGTCTCGGAGTGAAACCGCAAGTTTGCTTTGATTTATCCCCCTATCATTGAGAATTCCCTCTTGATCGATGCCCCTCCACCTTCCGCTCCTGAAATGCAGCAGAATGGGAATACTCTCCCATTGAGCTGACCTCCTGGAGTTCCGAAAGATTGAGTTTCACGAGTCATTCAATGAAGAATTCTGTAAGAGCCAAATATATCATTCTACTATGCCGAGTTGATCCTCTGCGCGTTGCTACCCCGTGGAAGGTTCGCCCTTGATTCCGCATGATGAACGCGGCTTTCGATTAGAAGATGAATTGATGAGCAAGAGACTCTATGGGAGCACGACCTGATCATGATGAGAACGGGAAGTCACGAAGGAATCGTATTGTTGATTAGTCACCTCAAGTTAGATATCCGGGCATCTGGCCTTGTTGTTAGTTCCACGGAGGACATCTTTTCGGAGTGAATTGTTGAGCCACTAAACTCATGATCGGAAGCGCACCCCTCGACTCGGGAGTGTACGAGCTTACAGCGGTAGCACTCCATAGTTACTGTTATCATGGATAGATAGGCAGATGATCAGAGTGACTGAGCGATATCGCAGCCGATAATTAGTTTAAAAGATCCGAGGAGGTGATTGATGAGTTCTGGGCAATTATCTTACGAAAGAGATCTGAGCCCCTTCGAAAACTATTATTCAGGCTGAGCGCTTCGCCAAGCCTCAGAACGCGAAGAACCACAAGCTTCAAAGGCGGAGCGTCCAAATATTGTTAGGAGTGCCCGAAGGTGCGGTTTTCATCCCGAGCAGGAGCGATATGTTTCTACGCAACCGGGATCAGCGCAGACGATGGAACAGGCGACGCCGAATCAATGGCTCCACGAAATGAGCCCACGCCTCGGAAGAGATTCGGAGGTTAAGCAAGTTCCGAGAGAGGGAGTCTAGGACCGGCGGGAAACCTTCAACGAAATCAGTCGAGGCTCTGGATGTCAGTCGGATCCGAATCCAATGTGAGAAGGAAAGTTTGAAGCCGGCGGCACTCCGACCACACGGAATCTGTCCATGCCTCAATCCTCGTCCTACGATCCGGTGCGATTCCAATAGTAGACCTGGAAGGCTATCATTCCGAAGCGATTGGCGTACTCGTTCAGAAATTACGAATTCCGGCGGTCGATGAGGCCA